ACTATGTTTATTCTTCTGTTGACTGGCGGATTATCAATTAAAATAAAAAAAATTTTATCTAATTTGAATAAATAGTTGTCAAGAAATATTTAATAAAAGCTAAAAAAAAATTTGGCCACAGCTTTTTTTTATTTAGATGCTTAAACTTTGAACATGGATTACTTGGTGCTTATTTGACTAAATTCGATGAATTTTTTTTATTTTAATTCTATAATTTCATAGAATTAAAATAAAAAATCCATCAAATTTGGTCAGATAAGCATGGAGTAATCCATATTCAAAATTAAGTATCTAAATAAAGAATAGCTATAGTCAAATTTTTTTTTTAGCTTTTAATAAATATTTCTCAAAACTATTTATTCAAATTAGATAATTTTTTTTTATTTTAATTATACAACTCTATAGAACTAAAATAAAAAATATATATTAAATTTGGATAGATAGCTGTTGAGAAATCTTCTTTTAAAGCTTTTAAAAAGTTTTTTAAAAAAAAATAAAGTTGTAATAAATATTTTATTTAAACTTTAAATAAAATTTTCTCAATAACCATCTATCCAAATTTAATAATTTTTTTTTTATTTTAGTTCTATAGAGTTGTATAATTAAAATAAAAAAAAAATTTATCTAATTTGAATAAATAGTTGTTGAGAAATATTTATTAAAAGCTAAAAAAAAAATTTGGCCACAGCTCTTCTTTATTTAAATACTTAATTTTGAATATGGATTACTCCATGCTTATCTGACTAAATTTGATGAATTTTTTTTTATTTTAATTCTATGAAATTATAGAATTAAAATAAAAAAAATTCATCGAATTTAGTTAGATAAGCACCAAGTAATCCATGTTCAAAGTTTAAGCATCTAAATAAAGAAGAGCTGCAGCTAAATTTTTTATTAGCTTTTATTAAATATTTCTCGATACCTATTCATTCAAATTAGATAAAATTTTTTTTATTTTAATTATACAACTCCATAGAGCTAAAATAAAAAAAAATTCATTGAATTTGGATAGATGGCTGTCGAGAAACCTTCTTTTAAAGTTTAAAAAAATAAAAATTTTATCGATTGACTTTTCAGATATTCAAGAATTTTCTAATTTCAAGTGTAGATATCTCGGTAACCACCAAATCAAATTTAATGAATTTTTTTTTATTTTAATTCTATAAAGATGTTGAATTAAAATAAAAAAGAAATTTTCAAATACAATCAAGTAGTTATTGAGAAATCGTTACTAGAAGTTGTAAAAAATTCAAAATTTTAATAACGATTTTCAATTTGATTTTGATTGGTGAAGATCTGGACTCCGGAAACGATCTACAGTCCGGAATTTGCTTGACATAAGGGAACCTCCCTTACAAATTTGTCTCTGTTACACCAGATTTTGTATCTGATTGGGCAGATCAGGACGTTAATTCCGAAATTTTTTAATAACGCTGTTGAAATAATTGAAATGGAAGTTGAATCCACGGAAATTACAGTATCAAAAAATGGAAAGAAAAGGAAAAGAGCGAACAAAAATAAAAAGCTGAAAAAACCAAAACAAAACGAATCTGATAATGAAACTAAGATAAGCAAAAAGCAAAAAATTGATTCGAATGTGATCGATAGTTCAAACCACGCACCAGAAAGCGAAACCATAGGTGATAATGAAGATGCTAAAATAACCGAAAAGCAAAAAATTAATAATTCAAACGTGATCGATGGATTAAACCATGTACCAGAAATTGAAACTATAAGTATGAAATTTTTGATATTCGATTTAAAATCCTTTTTTCTGATGGTTCTAATTCTCAATCATATCAATAGACGATCTTGAAGATAAGATTAATTACGATTTTGAAGCATTAGATATTTCGGAATCAACCAAAAAAGCTATCAAAGAGAAGGGTTTTACTCGTATGACAGAAATTCAAGCTAAAGCAATTCCATCTTTAATGGCTGGTCGTGATGTGTTGGGAGCCGCCAAAACCGGATCTGGTGATCTAATATGTTATTTTTATACTTTTTTTGTTTAATAAACAATAAATAATTATATATATATATATGTATTGAATTATATAGGAAAAACTTTGGCATTTTTAATCCCAGCCATAGAACTTCTTTATAAGCTAAAGTTCAAGCCAAGGAATGGTAAATTGATGTTTTTTTTAGATAAGAAGCTTAAGTATTTTCAATGATTATCTGATGAGATATTTTTCATTAAAGGAACTGGAGTAATTGTAATTTCTCCTACAAGAGAATTAGCTTTACAGATTTTCGGGGTTGCAAAGGATCTATTACAGTATCATAATCAAACATTTGGTATTGTAATGGGAGGTGCTAATCGAAATGCAGAAGTTCAAAAACTAGAGAAAGGAGTAAATTTACTGATTGCTACACCAGGGAGATTGTTAGATCATCTTCAGGTATTCCCTTTTTTTAAATCATATATAGCCTGTTCACTTCCCTAGATCATTTACTGATATGATCGGTTTAAATTATTTGCATAGAATACTAAAGGATTTGTGTACAGAAATCTCAAAACTCTCATCATAGATGAAGCTGATCGTATATTAGAAATTGGATTTGAAAATGAAATGAGACAGATTATAAAGATTCTTCCAAAAGGTGGGATAAAGCGTTAATTATTTGACATTAATAGTTTTTAAAGATTTGTAATATTAATGATTTGAAATCGGATTTTTCTCCGATACAGAAAATCGTCAATCAATACTTTTTTCTGCTACACAAACAACAAAAGTCGAAGATCTAGCACGAATATCCTTAAGGCCGGGACCATTATATATAAACGTTGACAAAGAAAAGGAAACATCTACTGTAGATACTCTTGACCAAGGTTATATCGTTTGTGATAGCGACAAGCGATTCTTATTACTGTTTACAATTCTTAAGCGCAATATCAAAAAGAAAATCATTGTGTTCTTCTCTAGTTGCAAATCTGTTAAATATCATGCAGAATTGTTAAATTATATTGATGTGCCAGTTTTGGATTTGCATGTAATTCTTATTTTATGCATTTTGATGCATACTTTTTACTTTAAGATTTGTCTTGTTTAATTTTATTTTTTCTTAGGGCAAACAAAAACAAACGAAACGGACAAATGTCTTTTTTGAATTTACAAACGCTGATCACGGTATCCTCCTTTGCACCGATGTCGCTGCTAGAGGATTGGATATACCTGCTGTTGACTATATCATTCAGTATGATCCACCAGATGATCCACGTGATTATATACATCGAGTTGGAAGGACAGCTCGTGCTGGTGGTAAAGGCAAGAGCTTACTGTTTTTATTACCGTGTGAGCTTGGATTTTTGCGGTATCTTAAACATGCCAAAGTTCCATTAAATGAATTTCAATTTCAAGACAATAAAGTATTTAATGTTCAATCTCAGGTGAGAAATACTGTCGGTTATTTATAAAGTTATTGATACTATATTAATATTATTCTCAACTATTCTACAGTTAGAAAAACTTATCGAAAAGAACTATTATCTGCATCAATCTGCACGCGATGGGTTCCGATCTTATTTGACCGCTTACGCTTCTTATTCACTTAAATCAATTTTTAATATAAATAAATTGGACCTTCAAAAGGTCGGAAAAGCATTTGGGTTTAAAATACCACCCAGAGTGAATATTAACATTGGTGCTAATCCAAAGGAATCTAAAAAACGACGTAGTGGAGCCAGTAATGGGTACAATAAAAGCTTGGATGGTAAAACGCATTTTGCAAAGCAAAGAAATAGCCCACTGAAAAAAAATGGTGATACACAATGGATGATGTAAAAAAAGATCACCATAATATGGAGATTAGTCAGATAGATATATATAATATTGAAAAATTATGTAATTGTTAAATGCACTAACATATTTCTAAGAAAAAAGCGTTATACATTTATTTGATACAAATAATCATATATTAAACATATTCAAAAAAAAAAAAAATGTCTCTCGTTCAATAGGCTAATTTGTCCGATAATTATGATAAATTTGTTATAATTATTCAATACCATAATTATCATGCATATGATTTCGTCTGGGCACCATCGGTGCTTGTGAAGGTGCATTTGGAGGATGACCTATCATCGGCATTCCTTGAGGAACTGCGATCATCGGCTGAACAGATTGTATACCACCCATTTGCATGTTGACATTTGTAGGAACAATATGCATTCCTTGTATATTAATTGTTTGCATGGTTGGTATTGCACCCATTTGCATAGATACTGTCATAGGAGGTACAGGAATTCTCATTGGAGATGGACCTGTTTGAATTACACTGTAGTTATTGGAATTTTCAAGTATATCTTGGAAATATACATGCTTTAATGCATTCTTTGCAGTGATTCTCTTCTCTGGGTCATAGACCAACATTTGAGTAAGTAAATCCATTCCGTTACGGTCGATCATAGGGAGTAATTGACTCATATCCTGAGCAGTGTATGCAGTATATTGTTTATGATAATCTGGATACTGCGTAACGCCTTGCCAGGTGGCTTCGGTTGGAGTACCCATAATACGAAAGATTTTTACCAATTGGTCATCGTTAGTTGTACCTGGAAATAGTGGACGACCAGTATACATTTCTGCCATAATGCAACCAGCAGACCATATATCAATTGATGTTGAATATGATCGAGATCCTAAAAGTACATCGGGTGAACGATACCATAATGTAACAACTTCATTTGAAAAAGTGGTAACTGGGATTCCAAAGGCTCGTGCAAGACCAAAATCAGCAAGTTTTAATTGTCCTGCTTTGTTGATTAAGAGATTTTGAGGTTTCAAATCTCGATGAAGAACCCTGTTTTCATGACAAAAATCTATTCCCCTCAACATTTGGTACATAAATGATTTGATCGTAACAGGATCTAGCGCACCATGATTCCCATGTGTATCCATATATTTTTTAAGATCTTGGTCCATATATTCAAAGACAAGCATTAATTTATTTTCAGTATGAATTACATCCTTAAGTTTCACAATGTTTGGGTGCTTTAATTCTTTCATCAATGATATTTCTCGAATTGCCGTCGAAGGAGCACCTTCTTCCGAATCTAAATGGATTTCCTTTAAAGCCACAGTTTCACCTGACCTTCGTTCTTTGCCTTTATACACAGTAGCGTATGTGCCCTCGCCTAATTTCTCCATTCTCACATACTCTCTTGCAGACATTTTTGATATATTTCCTCTAGCTCCTTTAAGTCTGTAATGTGCCTGAGCTTTACGTAAGCCTTTCAGTAATTAAACAAATTAATCGTTATAAGTCAACAAATAATAAAAAAATAACCATTCTCTCACTCACTTCAAATAAATATATGAAAGTCAAGTCAAATAATATTATCACAAGAAACACTCCGAAGTTGCGGTTATAAAATGCTGCGGTTTTATGTTTGATGTTTATCTTTATTACACGTGATCTTATCCTTAAAATTGCAAAACATTCGTTTTTGATACACCTGCACCTACTTTTTTGATACTGATTGACA